TGGCCCGCTGATGACGACCCATGAGCGGCCAGCTGCGGCAGCAAGACGGCCGAGCACGCGGCGGCCCGAGGCGCGGGCGCGCGACGAGGGCCAGCACCGCGACGGCGTCGTCTGGTTCCTGCGGCAGCGGCTGCAGCTGTGCGGGCGGACGCAGCAGGCCATGATGGAGACGCGGCTGACGCGGGAGATGGAAAAGAGCAGGAGCGTGCTGGCGAGGGCTGGGCCCGGGGCTGGGCTGACGGGGTTCTACGAGGCGATGCCGTCGCGCGGGACGAAGGCGGGGGCGCTGCGCGAGGAGGGGCGTGGGTATGGGCCGGTTGAGGACCTTACGGAGGAGCAGATTCAGATGTTCGAAAAGGGGAACCAGGATATGCTGCAGCATTACAACAGCACGCTGGACAAAGTCAGGTATGTTTTTTTTTTTCCTTTTTCCCTTTTTTCTTACTTTCAACTCTCGGTCTACTTCTTTGCCTGGCTCCGCTAACAAACACAGAACGGCGGAAAAGTCGCTGATTGAGATTTCGGAGCTTCAGACGCTGCTTGTGGGCAACCTTGCGACGCAGTCGGCCAACATTGAGCAGCTCGTGGCCGACTCGGAGAACATGGGCGACAATGTCGGCGGGGGCAACAAGCAGCTCAAGGAGGCGACGAAACGGCCGAGTGCAGCGCGCTACACGTTCTTCGCGTCGGCGGGGCTGTGCGCGTTCCTCATTGTCTGGGACCTCATCATATAGAATATCATGATGGATGAAGTGATGGGCTGTGTGCTGTGTCGTGTGGTGGCATTGTGACGTGACCTGTGCTGACATGTGACGGGGTTGGGGTATGTGTTCCAAGTGAGAATCACATGCGACTCATCAGTGCATCCTTCAAGTAAGCACTTTGCATCATACAAGGAAGCACTTTGCATCATATAAGGAAGGTGGTATTGATCAATTGACCTTGACTAGAGGACTTGGAGATTGAGTTGAGAGCTTGGTCGTAGGAAGCCCAAGATTCTCTAGTAGGTAGTTGCTCACCAAGCTGAAGACACCTGTAGACAAACGGGAGACAGCTCGGCCCTCAGCCCTGTAACGGCCTGGGACCTGCCGAAGCAGACTGCACGGGTTCGAAACAACAAGGATGACATTCTGCAGCGCCTTGCTTCATGCCATCGTCACTTCCTCCAGAATCCTACTTGATTGACCTCGAGATGACAGCACACAGGCGAACTGCCGAACCGGACAGTCCCGGGTCGTCGGCCACGCACCAGGCGCCGAAGCCTCGGTCGCGTGCCGGCACTGGCGGGCCACACAGGCACCAGGGACACAGCCGAGAGAGGAGCAAATAAAGTCGACGACCCCGAAGCCCCCACCTGTCTCTCTCGTCTCACCCCCTTCCAGTACTTCACAGCAGCAGACAGGACGCAGAGATTGAAACGCAGATCGGCGCCATTGTTCAGAATTAGCACCCGTTGTTCGGAATTAGCAAATCCACGACACATCGGCCCCGGCGTGACACACCATCCTGACAGCCAAGACTTTTTTCTCGTCAGGGAAAACTCGTCAGGGAAAACTCGTCAGGGAAAACTCGTCAGGGGAAACTCATCAGGTCAGACTCGTCGGTCAGATTCGTTAGGTCCGAGTCACTCGAGTCACTGGTTGTTAATCGAGTGCTTCGATTGGTCCGCTTGAGAGGCCCAGAGTCGCACGACCATCACCCCACAGCGGCTGTTTACTGCACCCTGCGCGGTGGGCCCGCTGTACCCCGAAGGCCCTCATACAAGCCCCTCTGAAGGCCCCTCGCCCAGGCCCCTCACCCCTCTGAAGGCCCCTCCCAGGCCTCACCCCTCGTCTACCTAGGTACCTCAGTGCCTCGACCAGGCTTCCAGGCAGGACCACCCAGAGTACCTGCAGCACACAGCTCTCTCTGCCCACCTCACGTCACCATCCCGCCCGTCCCGCACCTCCTTCCTGCTCGAAACGTTTCCCATCCGCCAACATGCCAGCTCCCTCCTCAACAACACCACCCGCCGCCTCCGCCTCCTCCTCCTCCTCCTCCTCCTCCTCCTCCTCCCTCTCCCGCCTTCGTAACATCACAAACCACATCATGGCACCCGCAGCTTCCACAAACTTCCCCGCCGACAATGTGCCCCAGGCACCAGAGGACCCCCTCTTCGGCCTGATGCGAGCCTTCAAGGCTGATACGAGCCCCAACAAAGTCGACCTCGTGGGTGCTTTCTTCTTCCGAGACCTCTGCAGGTGCTGACATCTCCAGGGCATCGGTGCCTACCGCGACGACAATGCGAAGCCTTGGGTGCTTCCCGTCGTCAAGAAGGTGTGTTCTCCCTGCTGCTGCTTTTCATGCTCTTCACTCCAACCCCGCCATGCCTATCTGCCTATCTGCCCCAACATGTGAACCAAGCTGACCACCCCAGGCCGACGAGATCCTCCGCAACGACCCCGACCTCAACCATGAATACCTCCCCATCGCCGGTCTGCCCGCCTTCACGACCAAGGCCGCCGAGCTGATCCTGGGCGCCGACTCGCCCGCCCTCCAGGAGCAGCGTGCCTCCTCCATCCAGACCATCTCCGGCACCGGTGCCGTCCACCTCGGCGCCCTCTTCTTCGCCAAGTTCTTCCAGGGCAACAAGGCCGTCTACGTGTCCGACCCGACCTGGGCCAACCACCACCAGATCTTCTCCAACGTCGGCCTGCCCGTCGAAAAGTACCCCTACTTCGACAAGCAGACCAAGGGCCTCGACTTTGCCGGCATGAAGTCGGCCATCGCCGCCGCCCCCGCCCGCTCCATCATCCTCCTCCACGCCTGCGCCCACAACCCCACCGGCGTCGACCCCACGGCCGACCAGTGGGCCGAGCTCGCCGACCTGCTGCGCACCAAGAACCACGTCCCCTTCTTCGACTGCGCCTACCAGGGTTTCGCCACCGGCGACCTCGCCCAGGACAACGGCGCCATCCGCCTGTTCGTCGACCGCGGCTTCGAGCTCGTCATCGCCCAGAGCTTCGCCAAGAACTTTGGCCTCTACGGCGAGCGCGCCGGCTGCTTCCACGTCGTCACGGGCCCCGGCCCCGACGCCACGTCCACCATTGCCCGCATCGCCTCGCAGCTCGCCATCCTGCAGCGCTCCGAGATTTCGAACCCGCCCCTCTACGGCGCCCGCATCGCCTCGACCGTCCTCAACGACGCCGCCCTCTTCGCCGAGTGGCAGGGCAACCTGCGCGCCATGTCGGGCCGCATCATCGACATGCGCAAGGCCCTGCGCGCCAAGCTCGAGGCCCTCGGCACCCCCGGCACCTGGCACCACATTACCGACCAGATTGGCATGTTCAGCTTCACCGGCCTGTCCGAGGCCCAGGTCCTGAAGCTGCGCGACGACGCCCACGTCTACATGACCAAGAACGGCCGCATCAGCATGGCCGGCCTCAACACGAGGAATATCGACTACTTTGCCGAGGCTGTCGACAGGGTTGTGCGGGCGTCGTCGTAGGCCCTTTCGCCTGGGTGCGCCCTGGATGGATTGCCGGATCGCCTGGAACAAAAGCGTGCAGCTAGCTAATTTCAACATGTATTATGGAACCCGCCCGGCGCTGAATCAAGAGTGATGCAACCCCTTGCGTTGATGGCACCAGCGGACTGCATCTGGTTGATCATCAATTCGAAGTGGTGATTGTCACGAGATGCAGGAACAATATACTGGATGCTGGTCCTGTTGATCGACCCATGTATCGCCAACGACCGATGTAACCAGCCCCCGACGCACAGCGGTGGAGCTATCGGTTCCGAAGCGGCTCCCTGGGCGGCGGGAATCTACATGGCAAACCCCGGCGCAGACGGACAGGCTGGCTGTTCTGTGCTGCCGTCAAGATGCTGGATGGTGGGCGGCTAGTCATTTGTCTCGCGGGCTGTGGACGCGCAGTGCTGGTGATTTCCAAACGAGATTAGCGGTTGCCGTAAGACCTTGCATTGTGTGCGGCTTTTTAAATGAACCATGGCGTCGAAGAGAAGAGTCTGGAGACCGTTGAAGCGTCTCGCTCATGTGCCTTCTGCACTGCATTTCACTGCATTTGGATCACTCACTTGCGCTGGTATTCGACACTGAGAGCCATCTCGTCGATCCGCCTGGACAACCTCAGACCAGCATCCCTTCCTTTCGTTTCAACAGCATTGCACCAGCATGACGCTCCTCGCCCTCGCCCTCGCCGACGACCTCGCCAGCAGGGCCCTCTCCATGTTCGACGCCCTCGTCTCCCAAGGCCGTCTGCATTACGCCGCCACGACGCCCGAGACCCACCGCGTCAACAACTTCACCGTAACCTCGCCCCCCACGCGCAACCATGCTCGCGCGCCCTCGCCCAGGCCAAAGCTCACACGCGCACCAGTTTGAATTCCGCATCGCCACGGCCCTCCTCACCAAGCCCCACAGCCCGTCGTCCACCTCGTCCGCCGCAGGCCGCCCCGAAGGCCGCAGCCCCTTCCTCGTCCCGGACCCAGCCTTCGTCGTCACCCCCGTCGGCGCCGCCCACGTCCTCGAGCTCAACCTCCACAGCGTCCTGCGGCCCTCGTTCGTGCTGCACACGCGCCTCTTCCGCCCGCAGACGGAGGACCTCGGGCCGGCGGACGTGCGGGCTGTGCGGGCCGTCATGGCGCGGCTCGAGGGCCCCGGCGCGCGGGGCGCGACCATGATGATCTTCAACTGCGGCGTCGCGGCCGGGTGTTCGCAGGGCCACAAGCATGTGCAGATTTTCGCGAGGCCGGCGGGGGGGCTTTTCCCTGACGCGGCTGCGTCGGCGGACGGTAATACCCCCCCACCCTTTTTTTTTATCTGGTCTTGGCTCTGCGGGACGTAGCGAGAAGGTGAAAGGAGCGGCTGACGGCTTGTAGAGATCGAGGAGCGCATCGACGGGGTTCCGTTCAAGCATTACGTGCTGCGGCTGCCGCGCGGGGCGTCGCCCGAGGCTGTCTACGAGAGGCTGGCGCGGCTCGTGACGGCGGCGCGGGCGGCGTTGGCGGCGTGCTGTGGCGGCGAGGCGCTCAATGTCGTCTTGACGGATCGGTGGGTTTGCGTGATCCCGCGGAGGCGTGCCGGGAGCGGCGGCGCGGCGGCCAACGGGGCGGGCATGGTGGGCATGGTCTGGGTGAAGGACCGGGCTGAGAGGGATCGCTGGGGGGCGTTTGGGTATACGGAGCATCTGGCGTATTTGGGCGTGCCGATTGGGGGGGTTCCTTTGGGTGAGGTGGAGGGTGAGGTGGAGGGCGAGGGTAGACGCTGAGGATCCATCTGGAATCAATGCTGGAATGCTGGAATCAATGCTAGAATACACGGCAGTCTGCCACTACAAGGCGCCTCTCCTTGGCGGCTTTGGCCTTCTTGCCCTCCGCGGCGGCCTTCTTCTGCGCAGCGTTGTCCTCCGAGGGTACGGCGAGATGTCGGGAAACGCGGGAGGAGGGACGACCAATAGGGCCACGGCCGGGGTAACGCGTGCCCTTCGGCGTCCAGCGTCTCCTCGAGAGGTTGATGAGATTAAGGTTAAAGAGGACCTTGTCGGTGCTGCGCACCGATTTACCCCAGACACCCTCCTCCTCGCCTTGAGAACTCGGCCGTAAGGCTCGTACTCCTGGTTCCAGATTGCGAGCTCGAAGGCATCGGCTTCCTTGCGATGTATAATATAGGCCGGCTGTCGGACTGCGATCGCCTCCTCCATGGCACTAGCAGACAAAGGCTTGCGCTGTATGGGCTAGTCGGCGATGGGATGCAAAGAATCGGCAAACCTCACGGAGTGACGCAGCTGAAGGGCCAGGAGGGCACGCGTCGACGAGGTCTCGGCAAGCAGGGACTGCTGCAGTCAGCAAGGAAGAGCCCCAAAGCTGAGGATTCATGCTGGAGACCAAAGCTGGAATCGAAGCTGGGGATCCATGCTGATAATCAAAACCAAGATCAAAACTGAGGATCAAAGCTGAGACGGTGAGGCTGGTGGGATTGCAATACAAGCGGGATTGGCGGCCGGGTGTTCATTACATGGTCTATGATAGTGCTATTTTCAAAAGTTGCTCTGATCTTCAGGGCTGAATCGCCCGTCCGGTTGTCCACCAACCCTTTTTTCTCTGCCAGCCTGATTGTGTCCGTTAAGTCATGAAGGTCATCGCCTTCCGTCACGGGCCCTGTTAGAGGCTTCACTTGACACCGATTATTCCGTGGCTGAGGCCGAGGATCCCATGATGCTGCTTTCTGACGCCAAGGACAGCGAACGGCCTGATACACAGCAAAACACGGCGACACAGCAAAAGATATCTTCCGAACCAGGGAATCGAACCCTGAGCCTGACGGTGAGAGCGTCAAATGTTAGCCATTACACCAGTTCGGATGTTGATGGCGTCGAACGTGCCAGACGAGCTCATGGTGGGGGAGAGCAGAGATTGCGGCGGGCTACAGTGAGGGGCGTGAAGGATCTGACGTTGAAAGCTCCATTTGTGAACCCACCAAAGGCACCATGTGATCCCGACTAGCAGCTAGGCGGCGCCTATCAACGTCCACGGAAAGTGCCAAGAAATATCTCAATGCCAGTGTCGTGGTGTCCTGTGTCTTGGACTTGAGATACTCAACAAGAAATAACGTCGTGTGTGGAAAGGCTGTCTGGCGGATGATCTCCAATGTAAAGTAACTTGGGCACGTCACATCATGAATGGGTAATTGGAGCCCAACTGGGAATGGCTGGTGACAACAAACCGCCGGTGCTAAATCCACACGGACATGCCGAGGTATACCATCCACGTGAGCGGCATCCGTTGATGGGATCAACCAGCGTGTAGTTGGAAATGCTATAGTGACCATCGCCAGGCGACGCCTCGGAACATCAAATGAACGAGCCCACGAATCTCAAGGACCGCAGGAGACGGATTGCAAAGGTATGCCAACACCAAGTCATGCGCAGTCTATCAAGCATCAAGGCCGAGTCGCGGTGTCACTGACCAGTACGCGCCCAGGCGTGCGACTCGTGCCGTCAAAAGAAGCTCAAATGCGATGGTATAAGACCGGCATGCAGTCGGTGCATGCAGTACGACATTGCTTGCATGTATGCCGACGTCGCAAAGCCGCCCTACCGCAGATCAAGGTGAGCACTCATGCATCGGGGCCGCCCGTCAGCCTTTTCTCTCTCTGACTGAGATGCCAGCCGCAGGATAGACAATCACTCACCAGCGTCGCTAGACACATCGTTGACGGCAAGCATAGCATCCCAGGCTCCATTGTCAACCTCCGCGACCTCGGTCTAAGGCGAGATCCCTAGGCATTCTCAAGCTAGTCGGGAAGGGTCTGCCCCGGGCGACCATCAAGATACACCCTCGTACCAAGGGCTGATTTTAGGTCGCCCAGGCGATCTTCGATACTTTGGTCAGGACGCATCCATCAGTAGCCAGGGTGGCCGGTTGAGGAGCCAGATCACTAACACAGCATAGGCCCGTCGACCACCTTTTCCTCCATATTCCCTCGAACCAGGAACAAGACTGAAAGGCATCCAGACGCGGCTTCTTTCGGGAAGATCACCGCCTCGCTGAGGGGTGGCACCTTTTCCAGATGGGTTCATCCCGCATTGCAGCCGCTTTTCGGCAGAACAGTCCATGAGCCGCTAACAACATGGGAGCAAGCCCTGTCACTGGTCAATGATTACTTCCACCACGAGAATCGGCACTGGCCACTCTTCGATCACCCTACTTTCACGGCCTATCTCGGTCGCCAGTACACCGATGATCCGCCACCTGAATCGTCATGGTGGGCCGCCCTGAACATTATACTCGCCACGGCCCAACGCAGAAAGGCCGGCACAGACCCAAGCAACTGGCAGGAAGCCCTGAATCAGGCCTGGAAGTATGTGCGAAACGCCATGAGCGCCGTCCTTGACATTCTCTTCCACAACATCAGCCTGCTCTCGGTACAGGCTCTGGTGAGCATCGGCCACTTCTTCCTGGACACGCCCAATCCCCAGCCGACATTCATACTATCGTCCTCGGCAGTGCGTCTCGGCCAGGCCATTGGATTGCACAAGCAAGACTGTCAGTCCACGCATGAGCGTACTGATCAGAAACAGAGGGCCCGTGTCTTTTGGTGTGCGACGATTCTGGACCAGCTGGCATGCTCCAAGACTGGAAGGCCACCCGCGCAAAAGGCAGAGGACTATGCCGTGAGGCTACCAGAAGCATCTGAAGGCGAAACACTGGGCACATGTGTGTCGATTGATGGCAAGACCGTCCTGGAGAACTTTCGACTCGACGCACATCTTTCCACCATCGAAGCGGACAGCTTTCAGAGGCTGTATTCTGCAGCCACACCAGCGCGCAAATCCCAGAGACACAGGCCGCTGTCGAGGATTTAGATCGCCAACTGGAGCGGTGGGTGAGGAGCATTCCCCCAGGTGCACGGCCTGGCAGAATTCACGGAAACAACTGGGCAGGGTCAACCCAACCGTACGTTTATCGTCTTCATTTGCGATATCATGCTAGTCTTGTCTCGATTCATCGGGCCCGAGACTTGGAGGACTTTTGGACCTTGCGAAAGCAGTCGGATACCTCGAAACCAGTCGAAAGTCTCAGTCCATCGATCCAGAAATGCGTGGACGCTGCCAGGGCTATGGTGCCACTATTGTGGGTTCCTCAAATTAGGTGCAGCTTCTACTAATAAGTATGCCTTGAAGATGCTGTCTTCAAATTAATTGACACGTTGGCAGGGACCTTCTTGCGTTCGCCACCACGGCGCTTTTCATCATTTACATCTACACGAAGCGAGTTCCGTCAGGGGACCGCCCCTGGCAGGACCTCGAGGATATGAGGAGCATTGTGCGGTTTATGCGAACTCAGATTGACCATGGAGCCGATTCCTTCATTCACGACCTGCAAGTCGCGGCTGAAGCTGCCTGCGATTCTTCAGAGGCGGCTGTGACCCATGCCAACGTCCTTACAGCTGATCCGTCTGCACATGATCGAGGGTCCAGCGGTCATACTGCCCACCAGACTGTTTATGATGATGCTCAGGACAAGAGCATGGCAATAGATGGAGCTGCGTCTTTTGAAGCCCCTGAGCCGCTTGAAGGGCTCGACTCTTTGCATCAGCAACTCCTGGAGTTTCCGTGGTCGTTCCTGGAGATTGACTTTAGTTTTGGCGATGACCTCGCAGGATTTGGGTTCTAGTACGTTTTGGAGTACTCAGATGTCTCACCAGGAAGGATGCACTATTCATGCGCATCTTCAAGATACGGAAGGTTACAGAGACAGGTACCTTAGTGGGAAAATGGAGGTTGTAGTTGTCCTTGGACTAGGTAGGTAGGTAGCCCCTTGGATTCTGACCTATCCTTGGAATCTGGCCTATCCTATCTAGTGATAGGGCCTATCCTGATTGGTTACTCACTTCTAAGGCACAGCTTACAAGCTACCCTATACTTTAGGCTATATAGGTACGGGCTCTACCTTAAAGTAGATAGCGTAGCTAAGTAAGCAGGCTTTCCTACTATAAGCGTAAGGTCTTAGGTTTGAGACTCGTAATAGATTTTAATAAATAATTTATCCTTAATAAATAATCAATTAATTAGATAAATAAATAAAAATAAAATATTCTATAATTATATATAATCCCTCAAATAACTAGACCTTTTAGAGAAGTAAAGTACTTTAGAATTTTTTTTTTTAAAAAAAAATAGAGCCTTCTAATTTGCTAAGGCTAGAGTTAGGATAGTATCAGATCCAAGGATAGTATCAGGTCCAAGGCTACGCACACATTCCGTCACAACGAATGGAGCAAGGCTTGTGCTCACACAGGGACAACTATAAGCCTCTGGTTCCCGGTAAGGTACTTATAGACGAGACACCGATTCGTGGTCCAACCAATGGGGCGCCGAACGTCCCCGCCTCCCTGACGGAGTCGACCATTCGAACTTGGACGACGAAAACTCGAATGCAGGTGCTAACACATGAATGTCTTCCTTCAAGCCATACTCAGCCCCGCTCATGGGCCAAAAGAAGTCTGGCCGAGTGAACAGGTCAGGGCGCACTTTCTGGAATGACCCAAAACTCTTTTGCACTAAGACGGCCATGTCATCGAAGTGACGGGGACCAAACGAGGGATCCCCTGCCCTGAGCTCCTGCTGTTGTTGCGCAGAATAGAACCCGAGACGAGTAAGCCAGATGTTGTACTGGGTCAGGCTGATGTCAATGTCAAAGGTCTTGTCCTCCGTTGTCCTGGCATGCAGTGCTTGCATTGCAGCGACAGCACCAACGAGCCCAGTCTGATAATCAGAGTTTGCTGTCGTGATATTAGAAACGTGTAAGACTCTTTGAGAGGAGTCTTCAACTTACGCAGGAGTGGGACAACCGGTTCATCCAGCCCGAGGAACTTCCCTTGCATATGTGCGAGGCCTACCAAGCAGTCACTGATCTGCTGACATCCTGACAGTCCGGCCAGGGGGCCGTCAAATACGTAGCAATTCTCCCGCATATAGATCAAGCTTGGGTTCAGCGCCCTCAGCACCTCGGTGCTGAAACCAAGTTTCGCGAGTGCCGTTGGCCGGAATCCATCGACAAGTAAGTCTGCATCCTTGACCAGTTCCCTGAGCTTGGTTCTGCCGTCATCCGTCTTCAGGTTCAGGTTTGTGTCCCTCTTGCCGGTTTGCAAATCGACCATGGTAGCTGCGTACTCCGGCAACGCGTCGCAGGACACACGTAGGACCTCGGCGCCGAGAACGGCCAGGATTTTCGAGACCGCTGGCGCGGCTATGACTCGGGACAAGTCCAGGACTTTGATCCCGGCAAGTGGTTTGAGGTCTTTGTCGCCCTCGGGACGAGGCCAGGTCTTGCGAGGTGCGGGGACCGGTGTCACTGACCACAGCGGCTTTTCGGCCATGGCTCTGCCTTGCTCGCTGGCGTGGAACTCTTCTGGAGTGAAGCAGACAACGCCAGCTTGACGGTATTGGTCGTTCGCCACCCGCTCAATCTCTTGAGAATCCCACTGCGCGACCTTTTCAGAGTAAATCATGAAAGCTTCATCCGCCGTAACGTCGTATTCCTCGATTCCGAGCATGGCCATCGCTGGTTTGGCATTCATGGATCCGTGGAGATGATACCATCTAGCATCCTTGGTCTTGTACACATTTGTTGCATACCGATGGATTTGCGTTGAGCTGTCGTGGATGTCCATGGCAGCCAACTCCTTTCCAAGCTGTTCATGCTGCATGAAGGACTTGCCGCCAACCATCGGCAGCAGTATCGAGCCCAGGAATAGTGTTGCAAGGTCGGTGTTGACTTCGACATCCTGGTAGTCGATGTGATAGCGCTCTGATGCGATGACATTGGCAGCTGTTGCAGCGAGTGCCGTCAGCGCGGAAGATGACTCGGTGAACTTGGCGGGCGTCAAGACAAATGGCCTCGGATCCGCGCTCGTGAAATTGACTTTCTTGACTGCCTCTTTGAAGGATGCATTTAGGCCCAAACGAGTGTCGTTGAGCGTGTAGCCTACGTCTCGGGAGACGACATCCTGCCTCGGCTTGGGCGCGATACAATGCCACAGGGGCCCGACGAATCTCTCCCTCACCTCGATGTGGCGAATCCGCATGTCAATCTTCTTCCCGAAGCAACGCAATTCTTGAAGAACGATCGAGAACCACGTAAGATTGTGTCAGCAAATGCCTACCTCGGTGCGCATGCTATATACGAAGCCCTTCGGAATGGAGCCGACATCATTATATGCGGCCGAGTCTCGGACGCAAGCCCAGTCATTGCATGCGCGTGGTATTGGTGGTCTTGGACCAACACTGACTATGACCAACTTGCCGGGGCCCTGATTGCCGGCCACATGATCGAGTGCTCAGCATATGTGACCGGTGGGAACTTTGCTGGCTTCGAAGCGTACAACCTCGAGGCCTTCGTCGGGCCCGGTTTTCCCATTGCCGAGGTTGCACGCGATGGCAGTTGCGTGATCACAAAGCATGCTGGCACCGGGGGCATGGTCAACGTCGACACGTGCAGGAGTCAGCTTCTTATGAGCTTCAGGGAAATGTGTATCTCAACAGCCACGTAAAGGCCTACCTTAACCAGGTAGTCATGGAGCAGGTTGGAGTTGATAGGTACTGACCACAGCAGCTCATGCTATAACCCTGTTCTGACATTATCTAGGGTTCATGTCTCGGGCATCCGAGGAGCCCCTCCTCCCTACACTACAAAACTGGCGATTTTCTACAAAGGAGGATACGAAATGCAGTTCCTGGTGAACGCCACCGGCTATGCTGTTGACGAGAAGTTCAAGCTGTTCGAAAAGCAAATCAGGAGCAGGATAGGCAACGAGGGACAGGCAGGGTTTGATTCACTTCACTTCCAACGGTAGGCTAGATTCGTCTTGTACCTCGTGCCGAACTAGATGCTCACATTCAGCGCAGCATCGGAACGCCAGCATCCGACCCTCGAGATCAGAACAGCAGCACGGTTTACTTCCGAATTTTCGCGCAAGCGACGGATCTTCGTACGTTGGCGCAGGTCGGTCAAGCTTTCAAGGACATATCGCTGAGGCACTTCTCGGGTAGTCTTTCCCGCTTGCGTGTAGAATCAAAGACATGTGTGGTATCTAACGATATCATCATCTAGGTTTCCACAGTTCTCTGGATTTCCGCACCGCAGTGCCGCGCCCGTACCTGGCGTACTGGCCGTCCCTGTGGCGCCAGGCCGATCTCGAAGAGCGGGTGTGTTTTGTGAAGGCCAACGGTGATGTCGAGGCTCAGCTCAATGTGGCAAAACCGCACAAGTACGAGCTGCTCGAGGACCGTGAATCCTAAGATACTCCCTCGCCTTCGGACTCGGCCTTGCAAGGAGAATCGCGCAAGGTTCGCCTTGGAGACGTGGCACTCGGTCGGTCGGGTGATAAGGGATCCAATCTGAACTTTGGCCTCTTTGTCCATCGGCACGATGAATGGGAGTGGTTGCGCACCTACATGTCCATCGATAGAGTGAAGACGCTTCTTGGCGATGAGCTCGGAGCTGACTTTGCCGTGGAGATGGTTGAGTTTCCAGGCATCTTCGCCGTGCACTTTGTGGTGTATGGCTTCCTTGGCAGGGGTGTGAGCAGCTCCCATCGGCTGGATGGCTTTGGCAAGGGGTTCATCGATTATATCAGGGACAAGGTTGTGGAGGTGCCCGCGAGTTTGCTGAACAATAAGAGTAGGATATAAGGCTGAATGAGTTAAATGGATTATGCTTTTTTTTTTCGAAAAGATCCAGGCGCGGACCCAATGTCTGGCCTCTGGTCTCATAATCTCGCTCGAATCCTTCGGGCGGTTATACGGCACCCGGAGATCTGACTACCCAATCTGGCCTTCTCCGGGGCCTTATTAGTGCCATCGTGACGGGTCCCCTGCATTAGACTGATGGAGGCGGATATTTGATAAGAAATCCCCAGATCGCTGATGCAGATGAATGTCTCGGCGCTTCTTCCCTTACCAGCACACGGCGTCGTCGATTTTCGTTTACATTCAGTCACTCGTTGGTGCACTTGTTGGCCCTCACCGTGGTTCGTATCACCAACCTTGTGCTCGGCGTCATCGCCGTGGCTTCGGCCTCGACCTCAGCGCAGTATTTCTCTCGCTACGACCAGGAGAAGCAGAACAAGGATGCCACATGCGACGTTAGTTTTTCCAGCCAAAATGAACACTGACGACGACGTGAATCACTGATGCATATGCAGAATAACTGCTACTTCAGGAGCATGTCGGGCTCCTGCGCCGATGACCCTGCTTGCGTATGCAACCAGAATGCCAAGCGCGATGCACTCTGGTGCTGCTTGGCCAAGAATTGCGACTCAAATGTGCTACCTGGTGCGTCTCGGCTTCGTGTGAGCTCCTTGTGGATGGAAAGACCATTCTGACGAGAGTTTTGCAGAGGCCATCTGGCGCCACGGGATGAATTGCGACGCCTTCAAGATCCCCATCCCAGAGGAGTTTGATGTGCAGGGCGTGTGCGGAATCCCGTGGGCCTCGACGACATCAACCAAGGCCGCTGCTACGCCCACCGCTGAGTCGAGCTCGGTCGAGGCCGGTGAGTCGTCTGCCGCGGCCGCCACCGGCAATGGGTCCTCGGCGACAGCTGCCGTGACTACTACCACCGGGGCCGCGTCTTCGGCTGACGAGAGTGCTGCCACCACGACCGCCGCGCCCGCGATAACGAGCCCGGCGCCCTCTGGAGCAGAGGCTTCGGTTGCAAGCGACGCCGCGACGACAGCTGCTTCCCCAGCGGCTGGAGCTGGTCCTGTGCAGCCTGGATTTGGCGTCTTGGCTGCTGCTCTGGGCATGATGTTTTGGTGGTGGTAGGGCGTGTAGCTAGATACCCTGGAAGGTGATGGCGCAAGACGAACACATCATTGCCAAGTCCATGGTTTTGAAGGTTTATGCGCTGCGCGAGAGCTCGTGATGTGTTGCTTGGAAAGCCATGTCATCCCGTGTCAGGTCAAGCCAAGTTCCTGGTTGATGCTGACAGGAATGCAGACTGTGCCGACGAGTGGAATTCACACTCCCGCACCAGGGGCCAACGGGCCGGGAGGGTGTGAGCTCATCGGGAACACTGTACGCCAGCATCGGATAACGCAGACAAGTAGGATGCTGATTGGCACAATTGGAAGTTAGAGTTGCGGGGGGTTGGCAACCCTGGCAAGCCTGGCCACCACCTTGAGCCCAGCCTCGTGTCTGTCTCTCATTGTCTTTCTCTTTTCGACGACTTCCTTCGACATTGGCCGTCCAGTAATGGCTGCATTGTGAACCATTCCTTTGCGATCTTGGCTCACTTCCAACACTCGTATGCCGCACCTATCAAGGGTTAGACGCAACTAGCAAAGTCCGGCTTGGCGAGGGGCTCAGGGGTTTGGCTAATGAGGAGGAAGTATGGCATCCAGTACCTACCTAGGCCAAGGTGCGTTGGATATCGTTGTGGACGTGACTTTCTGCATAGCCTTTTCCTTCTCATGTTTGCTCTTCTTATCAGTATTGGCCCACGATGTATCTTTGGTGGCGGGACAGCCCGAGACGGTATATCTTGGCGCAGACATCAGAGGCGACTTCACAAGTCCCACTACCACCAGATAAACTTCTGCCGCCGCCTGTTCTGCCAACCATTTGTCTACCCTTAAATACCTCTTGGGTTACGTAGATCCTGAGGGACTGCCATCTACCGCTCCGACCCTGGTCAAGACCCTGCTATCCCTCGTCTGACATGCATTTAAGAATTCCGTGCCTCATGGCTGCGTCACAACACTGCATCAGATGGGCAATCGAAGATCTCGGCACTGCCCGCTTTCCAAGTCCATGACATGACTGTGCGTTTCCTGACTGACGGCGCCGGCCAAACACAGAGACATCCAGCCAGGGAACCGGCCACTCAGCCGGACATCAAGTCAAGTGCTTGACTCGACTCGAGTTGACGATCTCTTGCCCTCGCTGCTGGCTTCCCCGAGCTACCGACCACCGGCCCCGGCTGAATAGGTTGGCCCTCGGCCTGCTAGGAGGTTGCTCCTGTCACCCTAGGCAGTCTTTTAGGCCGGGAGTAATTCAATATGCAAAGTAGAGCGGCAGTGTACTCCATACGCCACTGACTCGATCCTGGGGTACGAAGTGCCATTAAGCACCGATATGCGGGGGAGACGTACCCCTTGTCCGCGCGAACCTCCGCATCGACGCCCCCCCGCATCTCCATATCCCCGTCCCGACGGCTACAGACCTGGAGCTGTCCCACTATGATCGTCACTACGTCCTAGGATCGCCATCGCTGGCTGCCCAAACAGTGGATAATATGCCATGTAGCTCTTGGCGCAACCATGACGGGGACTCTCCACCGCTCGCACCGTCGTCCAACCAAGCCTTGACATCGGGCCTTCAACCAAGATGCTGCCAAGCCTGCAGCGTCGCTTTCCATGCGACACGCCCGCCCGGCTGGCGATACTGCCCATGGGGTAAGGGAAGGGGAAATTGATAGACATAGGGATAGGCGCGGTCTGGGAATGCATATAAGGCGAGAGTGCCCGGGCTTCCTGCTGCTGATGATCGCCGTTTCCAAGGAGCTGTCTTCAACCCAAGGGCTCTCCTACTCAATCCACTGTTCCATAGCTGAAGCTCTCAAGTACCTTAGTTTTGCATCATCGGAACTTCCCCTCATCTGTGCGCCCACTGCCAGAAATCGCCATCATGGTCGTCCACAGTAGCGGTCGCAAGGCCGAGACGGGTGCTGCCGACCCCATCATCACCCGCATCTCCGAGGAAGACAAGGTCGCCTGGTACAAGAAGCCGAACCTGCGATACCTCTACCTCATGCTCTTCCCAACGTGCATGGGCATCGAGCTGACGTCCGGCTTCGACTCCCAAATGATCAATGCTCTCCAGATGGTCAGCGCATGGAAAGACTGTACGTACACGAATGGACGGGTCGAGTTATAAAGAAGGGTATCCATGTCTAATCCATCCGCCGACTAGACTTCGGCTATCCTAGCGGAGCTCTGCAGGGCATCATCGCTGCTGCGTACTCGCTCGGCGCGATCCTCTCTCTGCCCTTCATTCCATATGTCAACGATAGGTGGGGCCGCCGATGGTCCATCTTTGGTGGCAGCACCATCATGATCTTGGGTGCCCTGCTCCAAGGATTCTCGACGCACGGTAGGCTATACTCATCTTATTCTTGAGCAGCAAAGTATCGAACTGACTGTCAAAAGTTGGCATGTACATCGTCGCCCGCCTCATCCTCGGATTTGGTATTCCGACTTGTATCGTGTCCGGCTCGTCGCTCATTGGCGAGCTCAGCTATCCCAAGGAACGACCGGTTCTGACGTCGCTGTTCAATGTTGCCTACTTTGTTGGCCAGGTGAGTCAAATATGTATTGGTGACGGACTATTTCCTGACCGGTACTAGATCATGGCTGCTGGTATTACCTTTGGCACAAACACCATAAGCAATGACTATGCCTGGAGGATCCCTTCGTGGCTGCAAATCTGCCCGTCTCTCCTGCAGATCACCTTTGTTTTGTGAGAGCCCCTCTGCAGTGCTTTCGGAATGAGATGACTGATATCGGTTCGGCAGCTTCCTCCCCGAGAGCCCCCGCTGGCTGATCGTCAACGACCGCATTGAAGAGGCCAGAGAGGTGTTCATCACGTACCACGCCGAGGGCGATCGCGACTCGGACTTTGTCAAGGCAGAAATGGCACAGATTCAAACAACCATTCGGATCGAGCTGGACGCTGCCAAGATGAGCTGGATGGATATCCTCGCCACGGCCGGCAACAGGCGTCGAGCTCTCGTGACCATGTTCCTCGGACTGTATGTCACCAATTCGAGCACCGCACCCTTTTCACACCATCTGTGCTAACACGAGTCCCCAGCTTCACTCAATGGTCGGGCAACACGCTCATCTCCTACTATCTCGGCACTATCCTCGAGAAGATTGGCTGGACGAACACGCAGGACATGCAGAAAGTCAACCTCGGCATCGCAGGCTGGAGTCTCATCTGCGGCACCACCGTGGCTCTGCTCGTCCGTCGCTTCCGGCGTCGCGTCATGTACATGACCTGCGTCCTCGCTCTCCTCTGCGGTACGTCCAGCCCCCCCCCCATTTCCTCTTATACATATGAACCAGGCAGCTGACGCAGCACAGTCTACATCGCCTGGACCGTCTCCATGGAGCGCGCGATGCACGCCAACGAGAACAACTACACCAACAACGCCGCCTCGACAGCGACCCTCTTCTGGATCTTCGCCTACTCGCCCGCCTACAACATTGGCTACAACGCCCTGACCTACACCTACCTCGTCGAGCTGTGGCCCTACGCGCTGCGCTCGCGCGGCATCGCCTTCTTCCAGCTCTTCGGCCGCCTCGCCGGCTTCTTCACGACCTTTGTCAACCCCATCGGCATGGACAATGCCGGCTGGAAGTACCTCATCTTCTACTGCTGCTGGCTCGCCTTTGAGGTTTGCTTTGTGTGGTTCATGTTCCCCGAGACGGCGGGCCGGACGCTTGAGGAGCTGGCTTTCTGTGAGTCGACCTGTCTTTGGCTGTGCTGGGGGATGGTGTTTGCTAATTTCCGAGGGCAGTGTTCGAGGACAAGCATTTCGCGGAGAACGCAAACATGGCTGTCGAGAAGGTTGTGCATGAGGATGTGCCTGGGGCGCAGAGGCCGCTGGGGGATGAGAAGGAGGCGGGCGCCGGGGAGGTGGAGGATGCGGGGAGGAGGGTTTGAGGTGGTTTACGATTTGCGATAGGTTGCTGTGGGATTGGACTGAACTCTGGATGATCAGGTATATGAATTGCATGCTTTGCCTTTGTGGAGTACACTGACTGAAGGGTGCCTTTGTGATTGAATCGGTTTATGCTGTTAAATGTGCATGTCAGAAGGCTCGCAGTACGCCAAGTCAGGCGTACTCTCTGGGGTCGGCAAGCAGTTCCAAATTCGTTCTGGCACGTCGCAAATATCGAGAAAGATTCTATGCTTACTCCTTATGAATTGTATTCTTGCGTGAATTTATTCCCTGCGTCATGGTACACTGCCTCATACAGTTTTGCCGTTATGTCATTGTCGTGTATTTCATCGAGGATGTAGTTACTGCGTGTGCTTCAAAACCCAAATATTCTTATATTTGAGACCTCAAACCAGTAATATATGCTTTCGGCATGTTTGCGGACGATTGTGGACAGTGAGTTCAGCAATGTCATGCGATAGCGAAAAATAGATCACCTGGATGAGTACGCCACGTTGCATAAACTGAACGCCTTGCAGGTAGGAAACTTGACCAGATGAACCTAGGTCTGCATGTCACGGCAATTCTGAACGACGATGCTGTTCTGAAGCCACTGTCCAAGGCCTCCGCGGAAGGCGATTCTAGCCTGCTTGGCCTGCAGTATGAATAGCACCCGCGACGGAGTAGCATGGACCAAAAAGATGGAGAAGAAATGATTGTTCGATTGTAACGTGTCCCGCTCTACAACGCAGCAATGGCATTCTCCAGCGGTTCCCTCACAGTCTCCCAGCCCAGCCAGTCTGACCGCGTCGTCGGCAGCAGCCCCATCGCGTTGACTTTCCACACACCGACGGCGAGGGCCAGCACCTGCATGGCGAGATAGGCCATCTTGACCTGGAACATCTGGCCCTTGTTCGTGTCGGACTCGAAGCGCTCAAAGGCCGAGTTGACGGCGAAGAGGCCGGTGATGGGCGTCTTGAAGGCCATGAGGACCATCATGATGCTGAAGATCTGGAGGGAGTTGCCGGACATGTACATCATGATGGCGGTCATGGGCAGGTTCTTGGCGGGGGCGAGGGCGACCTCCCAGGCCTTTTTGACCTTGAGCGTGTCCATCTCGGCGGGGGTCGGCTGCTTGCGTGGCGTGTGCTTGACATCTTTCTGCTTCTGTGGGAGCTGTCAGAGGGGTCACTGAAAGAGGCGAGAGACGGAATAAGGAGGTGAGGTACGCACCTTGGAGCCGGAGGACTGGGATGAAGGGTAGCCGTTCGGGTCGGAAATGCCGTTGACCTTCTGCTTGGAGGCGGGGGGCGAGTGCAGCTGAGAGACCCAGCGAGGGGTATCGCCCTTGACGAGAGACATGGCGTCGGACTGTTGGGTTGACCGGGGATAGCTGGTGGTCGAAGCAGGCAAGACGCTGGCTGACAAGGCTGAGCTGAATTGATGAGGGTGGAAACAAGCTCGCGATGCACAGGCTCGAGGCAGCGTCGAAGCTGGCCTTGCGCATCTGCATCAGTCAGCGCGCCCCACCTCCACCTCCCACTGAGCTCTGAACTGAACTGAACAGAGGCGGGTGCCAGTGCTTTCGCTTAGCTTATCGAGCAGCACGACGATAAGATGCTGAACCCTGGAGATGGATTTACCAAGCCCCATCCCAGAGCCTCGCTGCTTTTAGTCTAAGCCGAGCCTGAGCTGCCCGGAGCCAGGCTGTGGCTCAGCGCCCATAACCAGTCACAAATGCATAAAAGTCCACCGTAAACCTTTCGCTAGACCTTATAGACAATAGAAATAGAGCATGGACTGAGCCGAACCTGAGAAAGAGCGGCGAGGGCGCTAACCAGATTAGTCCAGCGCCATGGGTGGTGGTAAAAGGCAGAACCCCACCGGCAGCACCGGGAACACTGGAGCTTGACACGAGGTCCAGGCTCAGGGTCAGGGGACTCGACATTGGACGGGGGAAGGGCCATGGATTGGAATTCTCCCCTATTCCTGTCCGACATTGCTGCGTCTGCTCGCGACAACTCCAACAACATCCGACGACATCCCTTTGCGACAGGGGCTCCTCACGATTCACAGACGTCCGAACAAGCTCGACGACAATCCTCAGCTCATCCCACCCCCTACGAGCCATCGAATCCATCGGACGGTAGCCACCCTCTAGAGCCAACGGGCAGACAGACACAGAGCACATTCGACCCCCCCTTGGCTTGCGCAGTGCTGCAGACTTTCGACTCTTTGAGCGACACATGTGACATATTACCTATCGACCCCCGCCATAGCCATAAAAAACAAGAAACCCAAACGAACAACTACCCTACCTTGGCCTGGCTGCCGCCTCCCGCCAGCCGCAGCACCTACGAACCCTCCAATTAGGGAGACTGGCCGAAAGCTTTACCTTCAGGTGCCCTGGCCCCCCTCCCAGCTCGACGTGAGGGGTTGACTTGGCTTGGGTTGGTGTGCCGCTCTATCGCCCACCCCCCCCAGCCTTGATCGTCTGTGTGTGCGTCTGCGCGCGCGCAACTTACCTGTCTCTCGGAACCGAGGCAGACGTACCAGATACCAAGACAGGCTTCTGGGCTTAGCTGAAAGTCTTGGGTCGTGTCCACCACCCCCCCCTTCCCCCATCGACGTGTGTGACGACCACCCACCATGTCGAGCTCTCAGGCCGGAGGTGACTCCAAGCTGTTCGCGAGGGTAAGTACTTCGTCCCTCCTTCTCCCCTGCATATAGCCAGCATCCTTCCTGCCCCGTCACTGCTGTGCCCCCCCCTGATCCTGATCGCCATCGGCGGTCGTCATGTCGTAGACATCACAGGCCTTGGTGGTCGTCGGGCTGTCACTCCGTCTTGATCTCTAGTACACCATCCCACCACCGACCGACCGATCAACTCAACTTTGCGCATCACGATACCTCTTGCTTTTGGTTCTCAGTTGTTTCCCTTACTCTCTCAAGATACCCCCATGCTGTCGACGTCGCATCCCGCCTCCATCATGTTTATGGCGTACATGCCGCCGCCGGCGTCGCCCAGGCTAACAACTGCAAAGGGCAAAGTCGCGGAATTGCGGCTCGAGCTGAACAGCGGAGGGAAAAAGGACAAGAACAATGCGGGCAAGAAGATCGCCCTCAAGAAGATTGTGGCCAACATGACCATGAGCAACAATGACATGGTGGCACTGTTTCCCGATATTATTGGATGCATGCACATTCAGAGCCTCGAGATCAAGAAGATGTGCTTCTTGTTCCTAGTCAACTATGCGAGGATGAGGCCAGAGATTGCGCTGCAGGCGATACCCGTGCTCGAGAGGGTATGTGATTCTTTCCCTTCTCCTTTTTTGCCAGCCGATGACTGTAGCTGACATGCGCAGGATATGGACGACCCGAACCCCCTTGTGCGCGCCCTCGCCCTGCGGACCATGTCCTACATTCACGTTCGCGAATATGTCGAGGCCACGGTGCCCATTGTCAAGCACATGCTGCGCGATCCCGACCCCTACGTGCGCAAGACGGCGGCCTATTGCGTTGCGAAACTCTATGACCATGACCGTCGTGTTGTCGAGGCGTCAGACCTCATCGACCGGCTTAACACGCTGCTGAGGGACGACAACCCGACCGTTGTTGCCAGTGCGCTGGCTGGACTGATGGATATCTGGGAGAGGAGCGACTCGATCAAGCTCACAATCGACTACAGCAACGCATCTAAAATGGTCGCTATTCTCGCCGACTGTTCAGAGTGGGGTCAGACGTACATTCTCGAGGCGCTCATGTCCTACGTGCCGCAGGAGTCAGGGGAGGCTCTGCTCCTGGCGGAGCGCATATCACCACGACTGTCGCACTCCAACTCGGCCGTCGTGCTCACGTGCATCCGAGTCATCCTCTACCTCATGAACTACATTGCCGACCAGAAACAAATCTCGGCGCTCTGCCGCAAGCTGTCGCCGCCGCTGGTGACGCTGCTCGCCAAGGGCCCCGAGGTGCAGTACCTAGCGCTACGCAACGCGCTGCTGATCCTGCAGAAGCGGCCGGAGGTGCTGCGTAACGACATTCGCGTCTTCTTCTGCAAGTACAACGACCCCATCTATGTCAAGGTGACCAAGCTGGAGCTCATCTTCATGCTGGCCAACGAGAAGAACATTGACGAGGTGCTCACGGAGCTGCGCGAGTACGCGACCGAGATTGACGTGCACTTTGTGCGCAAGGCGGTGCGGGCCATCGGCAAGCTGGCCATCAAGATTGAGCCGGCGGCGCGGCAGTGCATCAACCTGCTGCTGGAGCTCGTATCAACCAAGGTGACGTACATCGTGCAGGAGGCGACGGTGGTGATCCGCAACATTTTCCGCAAGTACCCGAACCAGTACGAGTCGATCATTGGCACGCTGTGTGAGCACCTCGACTCGCTCGACGAGCCCGAGGCCAAGGCGGCCATGGTATGGGTCATTGGGCAGTACGCCGACAGGATCGAGAACAGCGAAGCGCTGCTCGAGGATTTCCTCGACTCGTTCGCCGAGGAGCCGGTTGAGGTGCAGCTGGCGCTGCTGACGGCGACGGTCAAGCTATTCATCCAGCGGCCGACCAAGGGCCAGGAGCTCGTGCCGCGGGTGCTCAAGTGGGCGACGGAGGAGACGGACAACCCGGACCTGCGCGATCGGGCCTACATGTACTGGCGGCTGCTATCCACAGACATGGCGGCGGCCAAAACAATCGTCATGAGCGAGAAGCCGCCCATCACGGCCGAGTCGGAGCGCCTCGACCCGGCCACGCTCGAGGAGATGTGCCTGAATGTCGGCACGCTGGCGACCGTCTACCTCAAGCCCGTGCAGACTGTGTTCCGGTCGGCGCGCGCCCGCAAACTGCTCGACTCGCCGGCGCTGCAGAAGCAGTACCTCGCGACGGCCGAGAAGCAGAAGAGCCTCAGCCAACTCGGCCTCGGCGGACAGCCGGCCGACATTGACGTGCGCAACCGGGCGGCCAACGCGGCGACGGCGGCGGGCGTGGGCGCGGGTGCGGCCCTGGGCACGCCCAACGGAGACGGCAACGGCAACCTCGCGCAGGCGGTCAACGACGCGGACGCGTACTTTGCGGGCATCGGACCGCAGCAGATGGCGGCCATGCGCGTGGACGACGGCGATGTGTTTGGGGGCAACGGCGGGTACGAGACGGGTTACGTGGTGAACCAGCACGCGCCGCAGCAGGTGGTGCAGCCGGCGCAAGGGGCGGGGAGTAACGGTGATCTGCTGATGCTGTAGAGATGCGGTGAATATATCCCAGTTCGTTCATGCTGCACTTCTTGTGTTTTCCAAGTCCTATGCTGCTTTCCCTACTTACACTCATATGAGGCTTGTTGCGAGGAGTGGCACACATGTTCGAAGAGGCGTCGAGGCCAAGTCGTGAGCATGCTGGCGGTGGTATTTGGTTCATGTAGTACACCGAGCAAGACCCCACCGGAACACCTAAGACCGGCTGCAGACGATGTACGGCACACCGCAGAAGGTGGGGAACACCATGGCGGCGGCGTCCACACCTTCAAGGTTTCTGTAGGTACTGTCGAGGCATACCATGTCGGCGGGGTCGAGGGTCGTGGTCTGCAGTCAGTCTCGTGACGCCGTGACGCCTTCTTCGGGAGGACCCGATGGTCCAATGAGGGAGAGGTGAAAAATGCGCCATTGAACGGTCTCCATGTTCACTTCATGAGGTTTGCCTGCTTGGCCAGGTTTGGAGGGAGACAGCAGGCGAGGTCCTCGGACTGTCGCCAAGACGGAGGATCCTTTGTAGGTACCTGGTAGGTAGAAGTAGGTACCTAGGTATGGGGAGAAAGTAGGTCGATGTTGTATCTGCAACCGAGCGGCTGGGCGCTGAGGTGCAGTAGCAGGAGCTGCCAGGCCTATCTGGGCTTTCCGTAGAGGACTGGAGGCCCAGCCCTCGAGCCTGCGAGGGCGTCTACCTTCCCGAAGGTATCTAGGCAGGACCTAAGCAGGTAGGTCATATGAAATGGACGGCGAGAAAAGTACTCCCTCGCTGCTGCCAGACAAAGCGAAGTGATCCCTTCCTGCCCTGCGGCCGTCACCTTGAAGTCAAACACGCAACATTCCACTTCCCCACATGGCTCAGCTGCCATGAAAACCGTCACATCATCATGTCGTCCAACACGTTTCAGACCCTCCCATCATTGAGCCCAATCGTTTTCGTGTCCCTCCGTCCCTTCACCTCTTCACCCTGCCTCTGCCTGCGGCACAGCGGTACGACAGTATCTAGAAAACGCATTCAATCCCGTCTTCCCTTTTCCCGGCAACCACCCGAGAAGCCCGAGTCATTTCCCACATGAACTGACAGTCTAACAACCACCCCGGTCCCATTGGTCGCCTCCACCGCTGTGCCTCAACCCCAAACCCAGCACCCCCCAAAGCACCAACACCCAGAGCGCCACGACCATGCCATCCCGCGGAGCCAGCGGCCCCCCGGGGAGAGGTAGGAGGGGGAAAAAAGAAAAAAAGAAAAAAGAGGAAAAAGGAAGAA